TTTTTTTAAATAAAAACTAATGAATTTTTGATCTCGGTTAATTTGGTTTATATTAAAATAAGTTTGTTGTAATTAATATAACGACAAAATTGCATTTACATAGTTTGAAATAAACTACAAAAATATATGAGTGTTCTGTTCTGACGCTACTCGACGAAAATGGTGTAATTGTAATCATGAAAACCATGTTAAAAACCATGAAATAAATTGTTAGTTAAATTTCATGAGCAAAACCGTGTAATAAATTGTTAGTTAAATTTCATGAGCAAAACCGTGTAATAAATTGTTAGTTAAATTTCATGAGCAAAACCGTGTAATAAATTGTTTCTTAAATTCATTATATCAAAAAATGGTATTCCGGTTTTTGATCAATTTTCTACTAAACCATTAAATTTTTTTAAAATAAAAACTAATGAATTTTTGATCTCGATTAATTTGGTTTATATTAAAATAAGTTTGTTGTGATTAATAAAACGACAATAATACATGTAGTTTGAATAAAAATATGAGTGTCTGGTTCTTTTGTCTTCAACTGTACTCGATGCGACCCGACGAAAATCTAGACACTGGGGATCGCACAGCGTAGAATAAGTTAGTGTTGCATAGGATCGGGCAGATGTGCACGGGGGTCATACAGTTTTATGGGAAAATGGACTTTGGATTTGCGTCGGATAGCGTCGCATGGCGTTGCATCGGATAAGTGTGTTCCCGGCTTTAGAACCGAAGAAGTGCTCAGAGCGACCATCACTGGGTGCTGATGAATGTGTGCAGCTCTATCATCAAATCCAGCCACAGCTTACGTGCATAGATGCCACGGGAAGTATTTTGTCAAAAAGGTTTCAGCTTATGCTCAACCTCTTTCTAGTCACTGAAAAAAAAGACTTATGATTTAAACTAAGGGAAAATTATCCAAATCCAAATGTCAGGAATGTGGGCTTAGTGACAAAAAAATTGCTTAACCCTCGTCAGTCTGCAGTGACCATCCGTTTCATATTTCTCTCTGAATAAATAGTTGAATTGCCTATTGAGAAGTTGAATACTGGAAAAACACACCTGAGACAAGTGTTATGGGTAATGAAACAAAACATCTGAAAGATAATATTTAGGCCCAGACCATGCTTGGGATAACAAGGTAAAACAGTCTCCTGGATTTCAGAACGGGCCTACAAAAAACAAAAGGATGGATAAACTCTAGAGGTGCTAGATACCGTAAGCTTAAATTAGATTAAAGAATCATCGTTCGAGAGGGCAAAACTCAAGGATAGAATTATATAATGGTCACTGGCATCTTAGAAAACACCTATACATCAAAGATACAATGGTGACAAAGCATAGAATACCAAAAAGGCCTGGAAAAAAGAACTGTAGTAATGGCAGTCAATGACCTACTACTTCAATTCAAGCCAATTGTCAAATGAACTGAACTAAGGAACTAGGAAAAGTACATAAGCCAGATGGTTGCAGTGTTCGGGGAATGCAAAACTTCCTCTTCACAGCATTTCATTATCATCATCATCATCAAGTTGAGTTAACATGGGATCAAATTCTTGATACACCCATCGAATGACAGATTATTTGTTTCAACCTAAGAAGTGGTGGTGGAGGATGATTCCAACTACCAAGCCATTGAGTGCTATCATACCAATCATAGAACTAAATGAAAGGTGACTAATGTCAGTAGATTAAAATGGGTTTTATTTTGGATATTAATTTTGATTTATAGTAAAGAAATGAAAATATTATTTTTATACGCCTTAATGAAAAAACTTTTTATGACAAAAAGGATAACTGGTGGTGCTTTCTGTTCGGAACTTTTGCCTGAAGACAATTAATTTGTCATTATCCTTAAATGCTTTGTGTCGTGTTTATCAACGCTTGTGCAAAGTGCAAAAACATTTTTTAACAACTGTTGTGATTTTTATGAGAAATTTATGCTCCATTCGAATTGAAATACTGTATTTTCAGCATGTCGATACACTCGAAAGAGGGCCATGGGACGAAATTCCAGAAATAATCCTAACGGAGTGTTCGGAAATAGAAGACGCCCATATTCTCTAAAAGGACATCTCGCCTCATAAAACGAGATTCGAAATGATGATTTCTACACATACGACAATCAGAGCCGGTAATGCGATTGGGAGACCTTTCCAAATTTGGAGAGTCCCGGTTAAAATATTTATTCATTAAAGTCCCAGTGCGAATAATGAAATGAATAAAAAGCTAGCCGAAAAGTTTATAGAAACGTGACCAGGCGGTCTGTTTAATTATACAGGGTGCTGACTGTTTAAACGAAAAACATCAATCGTAAACGGACTCGGATGATAATCAACTACTAAATGACCATAATATCCGCTTAATCGTCCAAAGGTACGTAGGCCTTTGATGCATAGTTGTAATATTTGTGCTATACGAGGATACGTTCGCATAATCCCTTATGAGTATATTAGGGAGGAGGATGAAAAAGACCGCGTTGTACGTCCCTGGGTCCGCCGGGGCAGGACTCGCAGTATCTCATAGCCACCTCGGCAATAAATCCTCTAAGGAAGAACGTTCCGAGTGAAAGTTGGTTTTTCGGATTCAGCCAGTTTTCTGTTTGAACAGATTAATAGCTGTGATGGATTATAAGGCTCCTTAAAGTGCGGTAGGGGAGATTTCTTTTCTTTTTAGAAGAATTCTTCTCTGGTGGAAATATTTTTGTTTGTTAATCATAAAATAGTAACATAGTGGATAGTTTAATAAACTTAATTTTAATATCTAAATATCAACAATTTTATTCTATAATTTAAGACAGCGTTGGCTGGAGGTACATTAAACTTTTCTGTTTCTTCAAAAGAAAAGGATACGTTCAACTACCCTATTGTAGTGGACGAGGGGTTAAACCAATTTACAAAACTTTTAGCAATTAATTTTCAAATAAAATCTCTAGGGATATGCCAGGATTCGAACCCAGAACCGCTAGCTTGACGGACGACCCGATCACTCGACCACCGCGGCCCCTTTCCTGTATTGTTTTTTAGTATTTAATGTAAGATGTAACTCTCAGATTTCTTGTGATCAGCGGGGTTATGAACGTCTAATTTAATCGTTACTAATCATTTTGGCCGGTTTATTCTCCCTGAGTTGGTCTGTCAGACGCGTTATTTTGTCATGTTGAGTGATGAATCTGACAGGTCAAACTACCAAGGATAGAAAGACAAAAATGATCAGTAATGACCCAATATAGCTTTTTCCCGTCAAATTGACTCTTTTATAACTTCAGATTCTTTTATTAACTACAAATTAAACTTTTTGTACTTTCAATTAAACTTTTTAATTTCAAATTAACCCTATATTTAAACCACTAATAAATTTAGGAGATGGTATTAAATGTGAGCGTATAAAGAAAAATTCTTGTCTATTTCAGATATTTTTTTAAAATATAAAATAATTAGTGTCTTTGAAAACCAGGTGTCAATTAATTACATTTAAAATTACGAATTATATAAAATTAGGCATAGAAATAATGGATTCATCTTTTAAGTTAAAATTGTTTAGGAAGAAAAAAAATTGCCTCTTATCTTATAAATTTTTTTCCACCGACAAATTAGCTCTTTTCAATTTCAAATTAACCATTTTTAAATTTCAAATTAACCTTTTCTTTAAATCAATAAAAAACTTAGGATGTTGTATGAAATTGAATTGTAATTTATGCAATAAAATTCCTGTCAACTTGTGATTTCTGTTTAAATATAAAGTAATTAGCCTCTTATAAGATCATATAAAAATTAATTACTATTAAACTTATAAATTATATGAATTTTTTAATGTGTTTTATAAATGTAGTAATACAGGTTTTTCTTTCAATTCGAGATATTTCCAAAAATATTAAACGTTCTTATCTTAAACACCGCATGGAAATTAATTGCAATTAAAACGGAAATTATTTCAAAAAATAAAATTGAAAATAAAAATAAGTGTTTGTCTTTTTAATTTGAGATATTTTTATAAATATAAAATTGAGTTTTACCTAAAACACCTCATTTAAATTGATTACAATTAAAATTAAAAGTTTAAAATTAAATATAAAAGCGAATAATTCTTCTATTAATTCGAAAAAAATTTAAAATATAAAATAATAATTATTAGAAGCTTTTTTTTATATTTAATTTTATATGTCTTTATCCCACATTAAAAGATGAATAATTTATTTTTATATAATTTTTAATTTTAATTGTAATTAATTGGGGAGTCGGTGGCCGCAGCGGTATAGGCGTTCACACGGCGCTCATACTGTAAGGTAAAGGTCCCGGGTTCGAGTCCAATTGCCCTGCATTCGAAGCGGACATAAAAATTGGACTTTTTTCAAAATACCGGCATCCCGAGGGTTCATATAAGGCAGTTGTTGAAATAACTTCGCAAAAAAAAAAGTAATTATATTTCATATGGTCTTATAAGGGCCCACTTATTTCATATTTACAAAAAATTCGCAAATAATAAAATTTAAATTTGGCGAAAAATGTAATTTTGACAATTATTTCTCTAAACCACCGACCATAGACAACGGCGCAATACCGCAAAATGTTTCACGATTTTCCTTGAATGCTAAATCCAGCTTGCAAAAAATGTTTCTGAACGATATTTTCAGATTTCGCATGGTAATCAATGATATCCAGCTAATCTTAGCTGGAACTGTGTTTGTAAACACGCCAAAAGTGTTCAATGCTGCCAATGTTTGCCATTTAGCTATTTAAGTATCACAAATCTCTGTAAAACAGTTCTGAAACAAGCAACAAACAAATTGAGAATGTTGCTCGACATTGCGAACATTATTGGAAAACATTGCCTACAATTTATGCATTAGATGCAAAATATACATCTTCAGTGTGACAATCAGGAATTGCAAATGCAATCTTGTTAAAAGTCTAGATTTTTATGATGCATATCTCCACCAGTACAATCTGTCATGCTGTGCTTTAAATATCACATATTTCAATTTTCAAAAATTGTTTGATAGTACTTACGAGAACGGCTCCGTTTTCGCTTGATACAGTCGCTCCGAACCACTGGTAAGACTTGGTGTCAATTTCGCTCCCGTTGATTACGGTGTTGCCTGAAACAAAGAGAAGTCATAAATGGAAAGTTATTAAAAGTCAAAGCAGCTCGTTCCGTGTTGGAACAGCGAGTGTGCGTGGTCTAAATCAGTTGAATTCCTCATATTAATAGTGGTTTTACGATGGACCAGGCCGTTGAAAAATAGCCGTTCGGTGACTGCGTTCTCGCATGATCGAGTGGTTCGCAAATTTGAATATTAGCAATCACCTTGGAAACCATAAATAATTCAATTAAGACTAAGGTTTATGAATCACGAAACCTTTGGTCAAATTTTAAAACTGGCTTGGTCGAAATCTTTCGATTTGTAAATTATTCACCAATTGTAAGACCTTCTAGACGACTAGGTTGTCACTGTCGAATTTATATGAATTCAGCAAGCTAAATTTTATCTGGAGGCCGGTTGAGATGGCAAGAAATTTTAGTCAACTAGAAAACTATTTGACATAAGCCGGGAACACACCTGATGCAACGCTATGCGACGCTACCCTATGCTACCCGACGCCTTGCCGCGTTTTGGTACGATGTGAACAGTCCACAGCGTGTATCACAAATCAGTATCACAATTGCAACGCCTCATTTGTTCTTAATGCAATATTTTGAGCAAAACCATGAGATAAATTGTTAGTTAAATTTTATGAGCAAAACCGTGATAAATTTTTCGTTAAATTCGTTATACCAAAACATGGTATTCCGGTGTTTTGGTCAATTTTATACCAAACCATTAAAATTAATTTTTTAAAATAAAAACATGAATTTTTAATCTTGTTTAATTTGGTGTATATTAAAATAGGAATGTTGTAATAATATAATGACAAAATTACATAATACATAGTTTGAAATAAACTACGAAAAATATGAGCGTCCTGTTCTGACACTACTCGACAAAAATGGTGTAATTTTATGAGCAAAACCATGAGATAAATTGTTAGTTAAATTTTATGAGCAAAACCGTGATAAATTGTTAGTTAAATTCGTTATATCAAAACATGCTATTCCGGTGTTTTGGTCAATTTTATACCAAACCATTAAAATTAACTTTTTAAAATAAAAACTTATGAATTTTTGATCTTGTTTAATTTGGTGTACATTAAAATAGGACTGTCGTAATTAATATAACGACAAAATTACATTGACTTAGCAAAACCATGAAATAAATTTTTTTAAAATAAAAACATGAATTTTGGATCTTGTTTAATTTGGTGTACATTAAAATAGGAATGTTGTAATTAATATAACGACAAAATTACATTTACTTAGCAAAACCATGAAATAAATTGTTAGTTAAATTCATTATATCAAAAAATGGTATCCGGTGTTTTGATCAATTTTATACCAAATCATTAAAATTAATTTTTTAAAATAAAAACTAATGAATTTTTGATGTCGTTAAATTTGGTTTACATTAAAATAGGAATGTAGTAATTAATATAACTACAAAATTACATCTACTTCGCAAAACCATGAAATAAATTGTTAGTAAAATTTTATGATAAAAACCGTGTAATAAATTGTTGGTTAAATTCATTATATCAAAAAATGTTATTCCGGTGTTTTGGTCAAGTGTATACCAAACCTACATTAAAATTAATTTTTTAAAATAAAAACTAATGAATTTTTGATGTCGTTAAATTTGGTTTACATTAAAATAGGAATGTAGAAATTAATATAACGGCAAAATTACGTCTACTTAGCAAAACCATGGATTAAATTGTTAGTAAAATTTTATGATAAAAACTGTGTAATAAATTGTTAATTAAATTCATTATATAAAAAAAATGTTATTCCGGTGTTTTGGCCAACTTTATACCAAACCATTAAAACCAAATTTTTTAAAAATAAAAACATGAATTTTTGATCTCGGTTAATTTGGTTTATATAAAAATAAGTATGTTGTAATTAATATAACGACAATAATACATATAGTTTGAATAAAAATATGAGTGTCCGGTTTTTTTGTCTTCGACTGTACTCGATGCGACCCGACGAAAATCTGGATAGTGGGGATCGCAGACCGTAGAGTAGGGTAGCGTTGCATAGCATGGGCAAATGTGCACGGGGGTAATACAGTTTTATGGGAAAATGGACTTTGGATTTGCGTCGTGTAGCGTCGCATAGCGTTGCATCGCGTGTGTTCCCAGTTATACAGTGAAATTTGTTAAAATACGGTTGCAGTTGAAAGGTTTCTTGATTTCAAAGGACATGGGTGTTTCTTCAGATTTTTACAGCTACTGTTTACGCTTTGTTTTTAATATTGCACAAGAACTTATTAAGAGGCCGGGCTTTCAGTCGATTATTTTAAGGGATCTTACAGTTTCTTTAATTTATTTTTTGTTAAGCCAAGTTGTCTTTCTTTCACTAGCTCTACAGAAGAATGGATCGTATTATGTTGCCCGTTTACAAGGGCATGCCACTTGTGAATTCCGCTTTCCCGTTTTTGCTCTTCAGCCATTTTGCAGTAGATCTCGTCGTCGGTCGGCTCGACAAAGGACCCACCGGACATTTTGTCCCGGTGCCTTCCGTTTTTCGAATCGAGCGGAAGCCGATTGAATTCCAATTGCGGCCACCCTTTTACATTCCAGAGGAAAGGGCAAAAGAGATCGTGTTTTTCTGACAAAACGCCGCTAATGCGACTGGCTCGTCGAGTCTTGATGATGACGGGATAAATGCGCGATGACTTGTATCAGCGCGACAATACCGCTAATGCGCTTGATGATCCTGCAGGCTCGGTCATCCATCTGTCGGGGCCGTTGTACCTCAAACAGGTAGGCCGAACCGGATGTTTTCAGGAGAAACATGACTCTCGTCGTATATGTTTTTTTTTTCTCGTGCCAATTAATTACACGGAAAGGCAATTAATCCCCAAAGGGAGAGTGTGTCGCGTGGTCCACCAGGTGGTTTATCCGAAATAATCTCTTATATCTCGATACTTTCCAATTTTCTTAATTCACTACCAAGATTCAAACCAAAATGGTTCGCAAATGGCCCAACAGCCAAATTGCATTGAGTTAAAACAAATTCTGAAAAATATTCACGAGTTTCATGTTATTATGACATCAAATTTGTTTAGAGGTTTAAAATAATCTATAATTTAGCCTATAAAACATCTATAAAACAACAACTGGGATAAAAAGAAAAGGGTACTACATTAAACATAAAAAAATTTGAATTTGTAGGCCATCCATTCAATAACCTCTAATTGAGAAATAATTTAATTAGTCAATTTATGAATTCATTTTTTTACTTAATTTATTTTTTTATCTACAACTGTACATGTATTATATACAACCAGCAGATTGGATTTCAATTTATGTTTGTGGCATTACGGGTGTTATATAGAAAGTTAACCATTGGCAGCTGCTCTGGATTAATAAAATGATATTAATCATTTAAGAGTTCTCTTATCCATATTCTTTTCAGACGTATACGTGGTAATTGTGGGGAATGGAGTAATCGTATTTGTGTGTTAGGGTGATTTTGTAATATACTGTGAAAACGTCTGTAATATGTTTCGATGGATGAAAAAACTGTTGGCATGTGAAGGTCTCTGTGAAGTGTGTTATTGTTTATGTAAAGAGAGGCAGAAAGAATTAGCCCTAAAATTTGGGATTGAAAACTTTGTAATCTTTAAAAATTGGAATATTTGGCTTATCCATAAGCTTGGAATCCGTACATCCAAGTAGGTTTAAATGTATATGTGGTATATGTATGTCTAAAGTTTTGATTTTAATGGTAATTTTGTTTGGCGGTTGAGTAGGTAATAAAGAATTTTAAATCGTGTGTTGAATGTCGGTTTTTTTAATCGTGACTGGATTCTGTCAAATGTAAGTTCTAGTTACCTTTCTCGGATTGAGGGACAGGTAGGACAAGACAGGACAGGTTAAGACAAGTCTCACGATGGAGTGTAAAGGTGATATGTTGTAACTTTGAAGGGTTAAACTTTATTTTCCAAAGAATTCTCATTTTTCAATTGTTGATATGTGATTGGGTAACATAAGACAAGCTTATGTAGAAGAGGGATGACTTGCTAATATGTCGGTGTCATCTGCTTATGTGATGGTAAGTGCATTCTCATTTGTGGGCATATCAGAGGTAAAAATTGTGTGGAGCGAGAATTGACCCTTGTGGCACACCTTCGATCTCAGAAATCTCCGTACCCTGGTTCACTGCGAAAAATCTCTCCTTAAGTTACGATAGTATAATCAGATAATAGGCCTGGTTTACATATAATTTTAATTTACTTATCCTTCGTGCCATACTTTGTCAAAGGGCTGAGAAATATCTAGAAACACTCTATTCGCGTACAGTTTCTGTTCCAGACAAGTAGTAATGAAATCTGTAACTTTGTGAAATTGATGAGTAGCGGAATGATGGGCTCGAAAGCCAAATTGATGTCTGATGTTTGAAGTATCAGTAGAGATAATTCTTTGGTAAATTAATTTTTCGAATAATTTAGGAGGAACTGGTAAGAAACAAATAGTAAGAGTAGGAAGTAGGGTAAGAAACAAAGAAACAACGATAAGATGATCGGGGCTTAAATTTTTATGGGGCTTTGGGATCATTTTAATGTAAGAAAATTTCCATTGTATAGTAAAGTGTGTAGTTCTCAAAAATTGCTTTAGGTAAAGTCAGAAAGACAACGGCTTTTTTTGGGAATTTCCTGAAAATTTTTAAAAATAAATTGCACGATGAATGAGTCAGATGATATACGAGTACCGGAAGTACTATGGGTGAGTTCGCACCCAACCCAAGTGCAATTTTTTGTGCAGCGTCATCTAGGAAATGTGAGCGATGCACTTATGCAATTTCCATTGTTGCTTTACTCACTAGTGATGGAGGCAGTAATTGATTAAATTGACCGTCACATCTGTATTTTCGTCTTTGAAGGTTCTCCTAAAATTGGACATTCTGGTCGGTTTTTTCATATGTCAATTTGATTAGCAATTTGTCAGTTTTTTCAAGGAAGTTAGTTCAAAAATCGAAACTCATGTTAGCAATGTT